CCAAAGTAAACCCCACATGGATCTGCTCTGCTCCCCGCCTGCTGTCCGCAGCCGGGCCTATTTCCTCTCTCTAGGATGAGGGCAGTAGCCTTCTGACTGGTCTCCTGTGGCCAGTCTTGCCTTCTGTTCCACGTGGGTGCCAGAGTCGTCTTTTTTAAAACATAAGTCTGTCTTTATACCAGAAAACTCTTCACTGACTTGCCATTACCTTCCAAATTTTAGAAATGTAAACCCCTCACCCAGGTCTGTATGATCAGGCCCTGCCGCCCCACCCCCCACCCGCCCAACCTCCTCCCGCATCCCTCCTTCTTCATGATGTCAGCCGCCTTGCCCCCGTCCTGTTCCTCCAACGTGCCAGGTTCATTCCAGCCTCCAGGCCTCTCTACCGCTTCTCTCCTGCAGATCTTGGGTTAAGAGCCGGCCTCCAGCCCCCTCCGAGCTCACTCTCACACCCTCTGTTTACTTTCCAGGTTTTCACAATCTGAAATTACTTTGTTGTGAGGTGTGGGAGCTCCGCAATGGGGGTCTTCCCAGTGCCTGCAACAGGGCCCAAGGCACATCTTTTGTACATTGTGTTTTCATGCTGCCTAAGGGTTTCCAGAAGGCTCTGCACAGCCCGATGTGGGAGGCCGGCTCCCTAGAAGGCCCCCGTGCCCTCAGAAAGGGGGCTCCACTTCAGCCCTTTACCATATACACAGTCCATCCAGCATCCAGAGTTGTCACTTCTGAGAGCCCACCACACGCTGGGATGGGCCCCCAGGTCCCTTGCCTCGTCCCTGCATGTGGTGCCCAAAGCCTGCGGGCCCGGCCTCCTCCCCTGACGATTGTTCTTTCTCTCCCAGGACCAAGATCTCGCCTGGCCGACAGTGGAGGCCCTGGAGCCTGAGCTCAGATGGAACCCTTCCGTGGAAATGGGAACTGTACGGAGATTCCAAACTCTGACTTCCTACAGAAAAAAAAAGAAAAAAAAAGATTTTTTTTAGCTTTGACAAACACAAAAGTGGTAATAAAGAGAGCCCTCCTCAACCCAAAATGTGAGCCACGTGTGGCAACCCCCTCCTCCCAATTAACAAACCAACAGACAAAATTCTCTTAGTCTTTTGCCTCTTGATAACATGTTACTCTTCTGTTTTGTAAAGTGTGTGTGCTTGGGGTTCGAGGTGTGTGGGATTGACTTCTCTGCTTTGTTTTTTAAGATATTATATGTAAATGTAAAAAGTTATTTAAATATATATTTTAAAGAACCCTAACCGCCAACTTTTGCTGAAAAAAAAAATCACTGCTGCAGTAATTGAACCACATCATGTGTAGATACTGTTGTCTCCCTGGAGGGAGCTCAGGCCTTTGAAAAGCTCAGGGCTACACCTGCCTTAGAAAATGAACCAGAAACTTGAAGTAAAGCTAGTTGATATGGGTACAAACTCTGAGGAACAATGCAATGCTGCCTCTTACTTTCTCGTGGCAAATCCCAACGTACAAAATGTCAGGCCTTCTCGGAAGCCATGCCTCTCCAGCCTGCACCTTCAGGCAGCTGATGGAAACAGCTTGGGGTCGGGTGGAAGGTCTGCAGCACTGCGGAGCCGGGACAAGCCATTGCTACGTAAGCCCCAGGGTGACAGGGACGATTCTGCGTAGTGTCCTCAGTCTGTCCCCTCTGGTCATCGTCCTAACTAGGACAGAGTTTACAGTCCTGATTTTGGGCTTCCTGCCACTGGCTTCAGAGATGGCTCGACGGGGTGTGTGGGGAGAGACACCCAGGAGGAATGTACGTGGTTTTGCAGCCTTGGTGTCTGCCCCAGCTGGGGGAGAGGTGGGATGGAGGGCGTCCCGGAGCGGGCCTGTGCGCATGCGTCCGTGTGCGCCCGGCCACACACACCCCGGCTGCTTCCGGCGTTGGGCTGCCTTCCTGGGTGCGCGTCGCCGGGACCCGATAGGGTCTGAGCTCCCTTTGAATGACAACGTTTCCCATCCCGTTGCTTCAGGGTTGTTCAGCCCTCTGCCTCGCGGCTGAAATTGCTCATCTCGCCTGCAAATGTCTACTCTCCTTTCTACCTAATGCACTATTCTGTATTGATTCTCCATGAGACAGAGTGAAAGAGACTATCAGATAGTTTAGACCCAAAGGGTAGGTTTTTATATATTGTTCCAACCTTTTGTTGTTTGTTGTTGCTGTTGTTGTTTTAAGAGGGAAGAAGAGTTTAAAAACCCAAACCATTTTTTAAAAGTTTCCATTTTAAAAGGGAGAATCTATTTAAAGCTATTTCAGATCAGGGATCGTTATCCTTTTTGTCCAATGTATTTCTTGTTATTAAAAAAATTTTTAGAAGAAACTAATCACATTAGCTCTTGTGTTCGCTAACTCTTCTGGTCACTTCTGTTTATTCATTTATTCAGCAGGTGTTTGTTGTCATCTGAAGTGCTCATTTGCTGAATAGGAACCTTGAGTCCTGGCCCCCTGTAGGTGGGGAAGCAGAGACCCACCCTGGGCTGCCGGGGGACTGTGACGGCTCTTCTCCAGTCAGGCCCAGGGAAGGTCAGCCCAGGGTCCACATCACAACGTTTTGAATGAGAATCTTACTGAATCCCTTTTTCTTAAAAACCCCAGCCTGTGATGAGGAAATTTACTTACTTCCAGCCAGGATTTGTCAGAAAGAAATTCCAGCATCAAACGATTGAGCCGTTTGCCATTAAGGAGCTCGCTGTGGTGAGATTTGTCATCCAGCCTCTGAGGTGCAGTCCCTTGGGGGCTGCCCCCCCACACACCCCCAGCACCGCCTGTGCCCAGCACACCTGCTGGCGAGGGTGTGACACGTGACCTGGGCCGCCTGTATTCCTAGGGCCAGGAGTAGCAGCTGCTGTGGAGAGCAGCTTGCACCTTGTGATTTTAGCGAAGGGGTGGGGGGTATGGACAGCAGCTTGCACCTTGTGATTTTAGCGAAGGGGTGGGGGGTATGGCTTCTAACATGAACTACAAAAAGCAGCTTCTCATTGTTGAGATTTTGTTTGTTCGTTTGTGGCTTTGTGTTTGTTTGTTTGTTTTTAATGCCTTTGAGTGCATATTACCTTCCTTGTCTGAAATCATACCCCCAAAGTGGCTTTCTTTAGCCCTGGCTGGAAAACCACTCCTCAGCAGCCTTAAGCAATAAATAGATGAGGAGAGCATGTGGCTTCAACTGGGCTTATTAAAATAAATGAGTCCAGTTTTCATTCGAAAGAGCAGTAACTACAGATGGCCAAAAAAAACACATTTAATTTTCATAGTTTATAGGGTGGTAGAAACAGAAAAGTGAAACTTTCAGGCTTTAAACCTCAGCCGTTGTCTTAAATTTGTGTTGGGTCACCAGAGTATGGTGACCAACTATATCGCCTCGCCATTCAAATCAAAAGAAATGTCTTCTTTGAAGTCGTAAGACTCCAATAATGATGACAAGTACCTTTTCTTGGTGGCCTCTCAGTGGCATGTGGGAGTTACATAGCTATGGAAACTGGGAGCATCACATCTTCCATTGAGAGAGACACACACACGCACACAAACACACACGCACGCAGGAATGTGACTGTTGGGTGTGGTCCCGTGGCTCAGCCTTGGGTGTAGGACAGCCATGTAGACTGAAGAGTGCTAGAACCAGTTAAAAATGGGGGGTTGGGAGTTCTGGTCCACCAGGTACCTCTTTGTAGTAGACACAGCCCCAGGATGCTGGCCTTAACTCTCCGTCTCTTTGCCTCTCCCTAACCCTAACCCTAACCCTAACCCACGCCGTTATATGACACGTCCACCACTCTGCTGTCCACCACTCACACCCTCCCTTATGTGCTGCTAGTTCCTACTCAAAGCTCATGCAGGACTAATGCTTTTAAAATGAGGTCTAAAAAATAATTACTAATCAAGAGTGTTATTTTTTAAACAGAACTGCCTTTTTCTATTCTTTATATAAACTCTATTGTGTTGGTCTAACAAGGCACTATTTTAAAATGTTTTTTTAAAAATTTCTCCCATAGCACTTAAAAGATATTTTGTAAAGACTTTGCTGTAAAGATTTTGTAATAAAGTGGTCTAAGGGCTCCTTCTCCAACATTACCATTAAAAAAAAATGTTTTAAAGGCTAGAAAACAACTTATGTATATTCTGTATATGTATAGCAGCACATTTCATTTATGGAAATATGTTCTCAGAATATTTATTTACTAATATATTTATCTTAAGCCATGTCTTATGTTGAGAGTGTGACGTTGGAATAATCATTGAAAATGACTAACATGAGGCCCTGTAAATACATGATAATTGCACACAGATTTTACATATTTGCCGACCAAAAATGATTTAAAACAAGTTGTAGTCTTCTGTGGTTTTGTAACAAATTGTACAAATGACTGTAAAAAAAAATACAATTTTATCAAGTACGTTATATATTGTCATTGCTCTATTTGGTAAAGGTCTACAGATTCCACAAAGGAGAGGTCTGCGTGAAGCAGTGCCTAATAACATCAGCTCGCTCATGGGAGCATCTGTGTAATTTCCTCTCCTGTTAACACAGAGTTCAGGTTATTGGGGATCCAGGTGGTGTCTGGGCAAGTATCTGAGAGACGGTGTTTGAGATTATGTCCCTGAGGTGGTGATAGGTTTTCTGCTCAGCCCTGTGGGGGGAATGGTGGTCAATCCCAGCAGTCCACTTTTCGAACATAGGGACCGTAAACTGGGTATAACCATCGACTTCATCTGCTAAGCCTTTTCCTATCTGGAAGACTGAGGCCCTCCAGCCCCTCTTTAAGGAAAAGGGACTTGTAGGAAAAAAGCTTAAGCATCCAGCCTGGAAATGACCAAATCATGAAGGTGGAGAGGGGCCCCGAGTCTAAAGTGAATCTCATACCCATCTGTCTTGTTTCCCGAGGAGGGTAGTCACTGATCTGTAAAGTGCTCTGAGATCGCGTGGAAGGTGCAAAGTGGTGTTTATTCTTCGGACATCTAGCAGAGAATACCCTAATCCTGTGAGCTACTGTCCCTATTTCTCGCTCTTTGACTTGGGCCATTTCTTGGGAGCATGCTACTCGTGGACCTCTGGCCTCTTCCTGTCTGGCAGTGGGTTCTTCTGAGCACCTTCAGGGGTGGCAGCCTGGCTGCAAAGAGCCTCCCAGGGCTTTGTTTTGATGGCCTTGCCCAGCTCCTAAGTGTACCTCTCGGGGGTCCCCGAAGGATTCCACAGCATTGGCTCCACCACCGTGTGGTGCAGAGCCCGGTGGCCCTCTGTGCAAGAGGCCATGGATGGTTAATGCATCCTCCGACAGCTGCTGTCTCTTCCTGGTTTCTGGAAGTGAGGTGAGGCTCGGCCCTTCCAAGACACTGTCCCAATGTCCCGGGGTAGCACTTGGGAGGCAGCCACATGTTCAGCATATCTGCTCTCAAGATCTTGGCAGAGTGTTACTTTTTTCTCCTTTGAACTTTCTTTATTGTAGCCAGGAAGAAAGCAGAGAAGTCAAAGCTAAAACTTGAGAAGGGAGCTCAGGATAATTATCTGGGATTTGTGTCCCCAAGTCTTGGTTACAGCCACAACCAACATTTGTCTAGCATGTTCTAGTTTACCGAATTCCTTCAGGGATACCGCTGCGAGCGTTTCCCCACAGCCCTGTAAGTTCAGCAGGAGACAGCTTTAAAGGCAAGGAAATTGGAATGGGTTTGCCCAAGGCCACACAGCCAGAAGGTGGACCACGGCTGTTACCTACTGAGTGCCACCCAGGACCCTAAACATCTACTCTGTGCCAGGCTCTGCTCAAAAGCCCTTTGCATGCATTAACTCATTTCATCCTCATGAAACCCTGTGAGGGGAGGGCTGTTTCTCCACATCTTATAGATGACAAAAACCAAGGTAGAAAGAGACTGAGCCCACGGTCCCCCTCAATTACGGTCAGAGCTGGGATTTGAACACTGACCACCTAGCTCCAGGGTGCATTCTGAGCTCTGCTGGCCACCGTGGACTAACGGAGCTGGACTCAGATCAGGCCTCTGGACGCCAAGTTCTCCATGTGGACCTTCATGACCAGGTCTGTGGCTCAGCTCTGGGGTTCAAGCATGTGCATCTGAGCCTTTCCCATCCTCATTTTTGCTTCAAGTCAAGTTTCTTTTGTCTCCACTTCTGAAAGCCACTTTATCCTCCTCTCAAACTGAGCAAAGGAGAAATAGGCATGACCCCAGATCTATCCTCTCTCCACTAAATCACGCCCCCACCTCCATCCTGACCCCCCACAATCCTGTCTTTAACTTCAGAGTTTCCTTCTCTTGGCATGAAGCCCTAGCTTACCTTTCCCTCTCCCCACCCCATCACATTTTCTCCACCACCAGCCATCACCTACCTCATTGACGCCTCCTGCAGGCCTCCTGTGCCTGGGTGAACCTGGCCACTGCCCCACTGGCCACTTGCTGTTGGAACTGATGGAGTTTCTTATCCCGCCCCGCTGGGCGGCTTTCGTTGCTGAATCGTCCTTGGGCTTTAATCTCTTTGAGGGTTTCGCATCTCCAAACTTGCATGGTACTGGGCAGCATTTCTCCTTCAATTGTCGCCTGAGCAAAAGTTTAACCAGGGAGAAGGAACTGGCAATTAATGGGCTCTTTACAACTTCCCAAGAAGAGGTGGTACCTGGTACGGGAGCATTGATTTTCTGGTTGTCCAGATGTTGGTGAGAGCTGGCGAGTCCACATAGCAGTCCTGAAGCCTGGTGTTCATAAGATAGACTGTCAGAGTCCACAGGTGGGGTTGCTGGGATCTCATCTCACAGAGATTGGATGCTAGAATTATAAGGGGGAGAAAAGGAATAAAAAAGGCCAATTCTCAAGCAGAGACTAGAAGGTCTACTTTGGAGGTAAAGTATTAACATCTTTTTATAGACCATTCCTTCCACACAGCTCTTAGAAATCTTTCTGCACAACCTCTCTCCTGCTCACCAAAACCTTTTGTACCAAGTAGGGAAGCAGTAGAACTTCACAAGGTCACAGTGATGGTCAGGTTCTCAGAGAACATAGCATGCTTGGGCTGGAAGCGGAGGGAGGGTCAGAGAGCATTTATAAGGAATTAAAGACCATTTCTGTCCCCTGGAAAGCTAAGGGAACCCATGGCAGGAAAGGAATGGGAGATGGGATTGCTCAAACTTCCTATAGGAGCTGTAGCCACTCCTCAACTATGCTGCAACCCAGAAATGACAGCAGGTAAAATCGTGCCAAGCCCTGAAATCACTTTCTAACCAGACTGCCATGAGCCAAGAAAAGCTGCTAAGCAGGGAAATATACTCTGGGGTCTAAAAAGGCAAAAGCACAATGTAAATGATGCTGGCCTCCATTTCTTGGGACCAGCCAAGAACAAGAGAACAATTTGGATAGATTAGAATCACACACTTAAAGAGACCTGGCTTTCTAAGAAATGTCATCTATAATAAAATAAAATCACCTTACCATATTTCGGTTGCCTTAAATTTTATTTTAGTTAGCTTAGTAGGGGGAAGAAATATGTATTTTCTTTTTCCTTTTTCTCTGTTTTTTGTTTTGTTTTGTTTTAATATTTCTATCACCTGTCTTTCTCTGCCTCAGTCATGTATGGGCAAATTGCTGTTTGTTTAGATTTTGCCTCTCATGCAGTTTTGAACCATTATCTCTAGTATTTGTGATGTCACTCTGGTGTGTGATGTGGGTGTGGGTGGGTGTTACATCATCAGATTTTTATAATTAAATTATGTTGGAAGAAGTTCTATTTTCTTGTGCTTACAGCCTCAGGAACTTCTCAAGCCCTCATTTTCCCCAATATGGCGCGGGTGAATTTTGAAGGTTCTGACATTCTTAAGAAGCACACTTTGCACGCAATGTAGTCAAATATGCGGTCCAGATTTGTGGATACAGGTAGCGAGATGCATCCTTACAGGTGCGAAAGGGCCCTTCTCCGTGCACATAAAGAAGGTACTGTTAAGTTCTCAGAATAGCTGCCAAGGCTAGGGACCAGAAATGAAAGAACACGTTCCTGCAGCCCTGGGCACCTCTGCCCGCATGTCTCTCCCGGGGAGAATACATGGTTTCTGGAATGCGGTTTTATTTTACATCCCATGGCAAATGCAGTAATTAGAGCTGTTAGCAGTGTCAAGGGCTTGAAACAAGAACAAAGACGCCTCTTCCTGGGAACTCTTGGGCAATGCCTATCTCCTTATCAGGTGCCTACCCTGTTGGTGGTTTTGATTTTTCATGTACAGAATGCCAAAGGAGGCTCCCTCTCCGGGGGGAGGAGAGCGAAATGGTGGAAAAACAGAGTATGAGTCTGGCAGGAGTTCCTGGAATCACATGCGTTGCCTGTTTGGTTTTTTTGTCCCTGGAGTGAATCAAAGTCGCAGGCAGACCGCACCGCAGGCCACCGTGGAACCACCACTGGCATCTGGACCCACAGATGCTTGGGAGGACAATGGGGTTAATTCAGTGGCAAGCTCTGGCCTCACCTCTCGAGAGGTGGGTCAGTTTTAGAGCTGGGCGTTGGAAAGGGTTTGTCTTTGGGAAGGGTCTGCAAACGTCTGGAGACTGGGCAGGCAGGCATCCTTTCAAAGCCAGTGAACCCTGGAGAAGTGCCACCAGGCTCTGGGGCTACGGTCTGCCTTTACTCTGCATGGCAGGGACAGAAGGGCAAGAATGGCACATGGAGCTGCTCTTCTGCTTTCCTTCTCTCCTTCCCCATCTTGAGGTTGGCTTTCCCACACCACCTTTTTCCAGACACTCAAATGTATTTACTTTCCTAGGCCTTTGACTCAAGAAGCACTCAGTGTCTCCTTCTAGTACAGAGCTGTTCACACAGATGGCAGATGAAACAGACTCTTCAAGTTCTATCAAATTCTTCTCTCCCTTCTGTGTAACTCCCTTCAATTGACCCTGCCCTAGTAGTAAGCCTCACGTTCCTTAGAAATAACTCAGGGTAATTTGGCCTGTGCTATTTCTATTTCAGTAAAATCTGTGTTGATTGAATGCTCACTGTAATCCAAACATGGTTCTAGACAACACTTTACCAACATCATCTCACCAAATGCTACCAACAGTCTTCTGCATGAGTTTGGGTGCTGCTGCCATCCCTACTTTATAGATGAAGAAACTGAAGGTCAGGGACTTCCCTGGTGGTCCAGTGGTAAAGAATCTGCCTTCCAATGCAGGGGAAGTGGGTTCAATCCGTGGTTGCGGAACTAAGGTCCCACATGCTGCGGGGCAACTAAGCCCACATGCCACAACTACTGAGCTCTTGTGCCCCAAATAGAGAGCCCGAATGCCGCAAGCTACAGAGCCCACGTGCTCTGGAGCCCGCGTGCCACAACTAGAGAGAAGCCCATACAGCAACGAAGAGCCTGCGTGCTGCAACTAAGACCCGACACAGCCATAAATAATTAATTAATTAAAATTTTTTAAAAAGGAAAGAAACTGAAGGTTCAGTTGCTCAAGGACCATGCCTCAGGCCCAAAAGCTAGTAACCAACAAAGGCTGGACTCAACCCAACCAGGGTCTATACCACCTTTGCTCTTATCCACTCAGAGCTATGCTGTGACACTTTGCCTTGCATCTGGTTGGCCCATCCACGTACCACACCTGGGCACGGACCACATCAAGTCCTATTGATGGCTCCCAGATCCATTTCTCAATGGGCAAGTGAATTCACATCTCTGCGCCTTACTTTCCTCATCTGTGAAATGTGGATAGTAGGAGTGCCTACCCCAGGATCACTATGCGGAGGAAATGGGACAATGCATGTGAAGCACTTGGCATGGCTCCTGGCAGAGAGTAAGTGCTCAGTAAATAAAGTTCTAATTAATGTTGGGTTTTTTTTGTTTTTTTTTGTTTTTTTTTGGCTGTGTTGTGAGGCATGCGGGACCTTAGTTCCCGAACCAAAGATTGAACCCACGCCCCCTGTGGTGGAAGCACGGAGTCTTAACCACTGGACCACCAGGGAAGTCCCTAATGTTATTAACATTATGGCCCATTCACTCATCTGACCCCTTCTTGAGCCCCTGTTGCTCATGGTCTGAGTGACTTAACCCAACATTTTATAGGAACTTCATCCCAGGTCCTTAGCTGGGTGCCCATCTGGTTTATGAGGCCAAGCAATGAGCCTCTTTTTTTTTTTTAATTGAGGTATAGTTTTTCAGATTCTTTTCTATTATAGGTTATTACAATATATTGAATATAGTTCCCTGTGCCACACAGTAAATCCTTGCTGTCAAGCAATCAGCCTCTTGAAACGGGGGATGATTCTGATCTGACTTGGGTACCATGACATTTCTTTTTCCACGATCCATCTTCACTAAACATTTGTCAGATTCATCAGCCTTATGGAGGTGATGTATCTACAGGAGCTACATTTCCCCTTGGTTTTAGAAGTTGTCCCAAATATCCCTGCTTTGTTAGATGGAAAGGGAAGCGGGTACCTGAGGATACACTAAGGAAAGTAACTAGTCTTTAACAGAGGTTGTTCTGTTGAAGGTTGTTCAGAAGTATAAAGTCAGGATGGAAAGACTCTATTTGATCCAGGGTCCTGAAACCATGGCAAGAGTTTCCATTGTTGGTGCCAACACTTGATCCAGAGACCTTGGGGCTGAGGTCATAGGGCTTCCATGTTGCTGAAAGTCCTGTTCCTGAGTTTGGTTCGCCAATGAACCTTTTTCACTCTGCTGAGATCAGTCTAAATAACCTTTATTTTCCACCCATCCTTTGGAGCTGTTCTTCCTGACATATCTAAACCACTGCTTCTGTCTGGAAACACATCTGCCTGTCTCTGATGCTTAGCCAGTCTCTGCTCAATGTATTTTTAGCTCCGATAATCTTTCTTCTTTCTTTCTCTCCTCTACTACCACTCTTCTCTCTAATTTCTCTGAGCTCCTGTTCACTTTCCAGAGGGTCAGTGAATAAAGAGGAAATTGAGCCGGGCTTCCCTGGTGGAGCAGTGGTTAAGAATCCTCCTGCCAATTCAGGGAACACAGGTTCGAGCCCTGGTCAGGGAAGATCCCTCATGCCGCAAAGCAACTAAGCCCGTGCGCCACAACTACTGAGCCTGTGCTCTAGAGCCGGCGAGCCACAACTACCGAGTCCATGCACCGCAGCTACTGAAGTCTGCGCACCTGGAGCCCGTGCTCCGCAAGGAGAGAAGCCACCATGATGAGAAACTCACACACTCACCAAAGAGCAGCCCCGCTCTCCGCAACTAGAGAAAGCCCGCGTGCAGCAATGAAGACCCAACGCAGCCAAAAATTAAAAAAAAAAAAAAAAAAGTTAAAAAAAGAGGAAATTGAGCCAATTTATATGAATTCTCATCTTCCTCCTTCATGCCCCACCACCAAATTCTAGTGGAATTTAGTTGTTTTTAATTTCCTCAGAAGATGTTTTTATTTTAACACCCAAGCAAGTAAACTTCCACACCCATATGGGAACACATCTGAGGTTTGTGATGTAGAAGTTTTAGGAGAGAAGAGAAAAACTTTGGATGAGAGAACTTGAAAAGATTCCTGAACCATGATGCAAACTCGGAGGACCAGTGATTTAGACCACATGTACTGAATACACACCTATCACGGGCCAAGTATGTGAAATGAGGTTGCCCTGCCCATTCTGCCACCCCTTCTCACCTGGCTCTGAGTTCTCAGATGTGGCCACCTGGATGCCCCACAGACACTGCTAACTCGTTATGTTCAAAACCAAATTCTTTTTCTCCCTTCACCCCCATCAGAACAGACTAACTACTGCTTCTCTTGAATTTTCCATCACTAGTTGCCTGACCCAGAACCTGGGAGACAGGATCAGTGCTGAGATGAGCCTGAGGCTAAAGGAAAATCAGGAATCTAGGTCCTGTTTTTATTTACAGTTTTGAGATTCTGTTCATCATTAATTTTTTTTTTTTTTTGCGGTACGCGGACCTCTCACTGTTGTGGCCTCTCCCATTGCGGAGCACAGGCTCCGGACGCGCAGGCTCAGCGGCCATGGTTCACGGGCCCAGCCACTCTGCGGCATGTGGGATCTTCCCGGACCGGGGCACGAACCCGTGTCCCCTGCATCGGCAGGCGGACTCTAAACCACTGCGCCACCAGGGAAGCCCTGTCCATCATTAATTTTTTGACATTCATTTAGAGTTTTTAAAGATATTGCATTAAAACACTGTCCATTAAATATATTTAATATATTTAAAAATTGATTAAATATTTGTCTTGATTACTGAGTTTTGGGGGGCCCCCTTAAATCTTGTGCCTGAGGCCAATGCCTCACTTGCCTCACCCTAATCCCAGCCCTGGACCACTCAGTAGGCGTTGGTTGCTAGAACCCCATAAAGATAAGAAGGCAATTCACCACCGTGATGAGGAGTAGGGTCCTGAAGTCCCACTGCCTGGGGTCATAGCCCAGCTCCACCACTAGGCAACCTTTAAGCAAGCCATTTAACCGCTCTGTATGAGGGGGCTCGTAAGAGTGCCTCCCTTATAGGGCTACCGTCATATGAGAAATGTGATGACAAACATTGCACACTGCTGAAAGTTTAGTAAAATCCTCAGTAAAGGTTTGCTATTCTTGTTATTATAATCAGACTCCCCATCCAGTGCTCTCTCCACAACATGACTGCCCTTTGAGTAGAAATCACCGCCGCTGGAGTTTCAAAGATACCAGGATCGCCCAAACTCCACCAGCTGAGATCTCTCAGCTTGTTGGCAAATCCTGCTGCCCTCGGGAGGAATCCAAGGGCCTGACTGCAGAGCCGGCAGACAGACAGACACCAATATCTTCCTGGAGGCCCGGGGGCTACAGTCAGTGCCCTCACTCTTTCCATGAAATAAAGCTGCTTAAGGACTGAGGCATGTGAAGTATTGAAATGAATATCTCAGGCAGCTCCTTGCCAGGGCCAGGGACCACATAACTGAGCAAAGACCTTGAGCCATTACGTGCCCTGACCTAGACCTGCTCGGTTGTATTTTTAGCCTCTGTGTGCTGTTTCCATCACCTGTGCTGGGCTTTACGCTAGAAAAGAGGGGAGGGAGGGCTGGGGACAACTAGAGAGATGTTTCTCATGGCAGCCAGTGGGGGCAGGAGCTTGCACACTATTTCTGAGCTCTGTTGTACAAGCCAGCTTTCATGGGCTTGCAACATTTCAGGGGTGTGTGTAGTTAATGACACAGGCCCACCGCCCCGAGCTTAGAAGGACCTCAGGCTTGGTTTAATGCTCTGTTGTCACCATCTTGAAATTCTTAAAAATTTTGAACAAGGGGCCCCACATTTTCATTTTCATTTTTCACTGTAGCCCATTCTGGTTACACAAGGCCAAGAGAGCAGAATAAAGGAAGGGGGCTGGTACCCAGTCAACAGGGGTGCCTTTCTGCAGGGCAGTAAGACAGATGGGAGCTGCTACCATGAGGCATAAATCCCCAGACTTGGCCAAATAAACCTGATTTTGAATCCCCGCCCCCCATCTGCCTCTTCTTATTTCCTCCTCTGAAACTAGGGTGAGATATGAAAGGACCTTGTAAACTGTAGACAGCTGTGTCCCGCTTTGCTAAAACCTTTCCCCTGCACTCTGTTTAAAACAGTCCACAGAGCACCCTCTGTCAATATCATCATTTTCTTGTTTTTGTAGTACATTTTGCTCTCTGAAATTCACATTATTTTCCTGTTGGTTGACTGGCCTCTCCCCTCCGTTTGAGTGTCAGTTCTAGGAGTGTAAGTTCTTTTCTTGCTGGTGCTCTTGACAGGCTCCACACTGAATATTTGTTGAATGGAGGAGGGATCACGCTTACTGAGTACTTGCTTTGTGCTGATGGTTTTACCTGCATCTTCTTCCCATTTTATTCTCCTTCTAGGGCCTCCTGCCTGGGAGGGTGCAAGTTAAGAGTTGAAGCATTGCCAGGTTATGTTGGAGGAGGTGATTTTGGAGGTGGGGAAGGGCCCAAAATGGTGAAGGAGAAGGTAAGCAAGAGTGGGAGACACCAGGTGGGATGTGGAGGGCATCCCCCTGCTCCAATAAGGAGCCAGAGGATTCTCGACCTTGGTAATGACCCAGGGAAAACAGTGATTGAACAAGCATACTCTTGCCGTGGCACTGGGTCGTGTGG